TTTAGGGTCTAGGGGTCTAGGGTTTGAGAGGGTAGGGTGTAAGGGTTTAGGGTTTTAGTATCTAGTGTTTACCTTAGGGACTTTGGGGTCTAGGTCTTTAGTGGGTAAGGTCTAGGGGTTTAGGGGGTTAGTGTTTAGTGTCTACCTTAGGGACTTTAGGGGTCTAGGGCTTTAGTGGGTAAGCTGTCAGGGTTTAGGGTGTTAGTATTCAGTGTTTAGCAAAAAAGGGTTTGGGTGCTCAAGTTTAAGGGCTTTCGTGCTTTGGGTCTGGGGGTTAATGTTTGGGCAAAAATTGTTTAAGAGTTTGCGCTGCGGGCCCCGGGTTCAGGGTCTAGGGCTGGGCTTCCTTATTGCTGCAAAGCACACTCCACAAAGCCTAATCTAACTATTCAGGCCGTAATTGAACACTGCAAGATGCTAGCGAATTTAATTCTGGGGACTGAGGCTCCTGCAAAAAAATAAATGGGTGTAAAAATTATATGTTTTGCAGGGCCTCCCGGGTTTGCAGCTCTAGACTTTGAAGGTTGAGGTTTGAGAGTGGACAGCACTTCCATCAGCAAAGCAGCTATCGACAAGAGCAGGGTGCTTGAAGCGATAAGATACAAACAACATGAGAGGACCATGAACAAAACAGCAGTGAGAGCGACACTGGGCTCCTTGCACTCGCATCTCAACTTACAGCACTCACAAGAGGACACGCCTTGGCAGAAACGCCACTGTCTGAAAATTGCATGCTATTGACGAGCGGGCTCAGAAAGTTAAGGGCACCTTGAGATAAAGGACCCTAGGATTTAGAGACCGATATTGGGGTTCCGTAGTCTCTGCATTTCCCATTCCTTATTAAGTGCTCCTCAGTCGATAGACCTTTGCAGTTTTATAGTTATGGGGACGGCGGGCATTAGTGTTGGGACTACGGTGCGCTGAATGTTCTCTACGTTAGCAATATGGACCATATTTATGAGATGGTGTGGTCGCTGGGCTGGGTGCTATAGAATCAGTTTCTCTCACTCTTGAATACTTCCGAAACCCATGCAACAAAGCCAACCTCCTCAGCCAAGATCGTCAAGCCACACCCCAAATCCGAACCCGCAATCTCACAACCTTCCACGCAACATCACGGGGCCTCATTCCCAGTCCTGCAACTCGCGGCTCCCTTACTGAGCCGCACGCTAAATCCCCTTTCCCATGCCCGTTTATCCCAAAACTCACATAGATGCTTTGCCCGAGACCGCCAACTATGTAGTCTAAGTCTAAAGCACAGACAACGGCCTCTGCATGCAGGAGATGAAGTATCCGCCGATCCCTGTGGACGATCTGGAGATCGGAGCGAAATACACGGGCACTCCGATTCAAGTGCCCGGAACCCTAAATCCCTAAACCCGAAGGACCCAAACCCCCCTACAATATAAACCCTGAGCCTTAAACCCAAGTCCCAAACCCTAAACCCTAAACCCGACCTAAACCCTGATCTTTCTCCAAGGCACCGTGCGCTCGATCTTGGATTTCGGCGCCTTTGTGGACATCGGCGCGGAAGCCGACGGTCTGCTGCACATCTCCAGGCGGGCTCAGGGACCCTTTACAGTAAATCCTAAACCCTAAAGCCTAAAGCCCTAATTTTAAAGGAACCCTGAAGCCAGGCCTTATAAAGGGGCTCCTGAAAGGCTTTGGGGTTTAGGATTTCGAGGTTTTGGAGTTCGGGGGTAAGGTTTGGAGTTAAGGGTTTTAGGGTTACGAGTGCAGTTTGGAACGAGTGAGCTGTCCTGGCGTGAGGTTGCAAGCCAGTTGCAAATATATTGGGCCCCAAAGCCCTATTCTAATCATTACGGCCCCTACATTAGGTCCTGCATCTACCGGAGCCTCCAACACCTTCATGTACCATTGACCGCCCTAAACCCCAAAGCTTTAGGTTGACTGCCCCTAAAAACATAAGCAGAGGCTCCTACACCTCTTATCTAACAAAGAGTCTTAGGGAACATAAGCATCCCCCCCATAGGTTTTTCAGGTACATTCCTGAATCATAAGAACCCAATGTGGAACCATATGCAAAACTTTGAGAGCACCATAAGAACCTTATGAAGACTTCTGGAGACCCTAACAGCCCTAAACCCTAAACCCTAAACCGGGTTTAGGGTTTAGGGCTTAGGGACACAAGCCTGCAAAACCTTCCAAAGTCCCGTAAGAACCACAAGGGGCCCTTTCAAGCCCCATGAGAGTCCACTAAAAATCGAAAGCATACCCATAAAACACTCAAGAATCCGTAGACACCTCTAGTTCATCCCTGCACCGAAAAACCCCTAAACCAAAAAACCCTGAGTAAATCCTGAACCCTACGCCCTAAACCCTAACTAAATTGAGTTACCCAGGATCTCCACGGAGCGCATCGAGAACATCTACGACGAGCTCTCCGAGGGTCAGGAGATCGAGTGTTGGGTCTCCGGGAAGCAGGAGATCCGCAGGGTTTATAGGGTTTAGGCTTTGGGATTTAGGGTTTTAGGATTTAGGGTTTTAGGGTTTAGGATTTAGGGTTTAGGACTTAGGGTTTAGGACCTCAGGGTTTCGGATTTGGAGTTTAGGGTGTAGGAATTTAGGGTTTAGGGCGTAGACCCGGCAGTCATCAAGTCCGGTTTCAAAAGGGCTTAGACCCGAGGAAAAAGCGAGCAGAAGAATGGGTTTAGGGGTTTGGGGGTCTGGGGGTTATGAGTTTAGGGGCTGAGGGTTAGTACTAGGAGTTTAGGGGTTCGGTGGGTGTGGGTCTTAAGGTTCGGGGTCAGGATAGTATAGCCACGTATACGGCTAGTAATCATTGTAATAGTAGCAGTTGATGCAATAATAACTACATGCCGAATAACAATGGTGATGTTCATATTAACAAGCGAGTGATAAGGAAGCCATAGAATAAGACTAGTAGTGATCATCACGAAACGGAACCCGGAAAACCCAAAGCCATGTCAGATGCAGGACGATGGAAAGTTTGGTCTCACCATGGCATCTTGGACGTGTCTTTGTGTTTCGAGCTTTCGACTTCTTTGAGCGGAGTGTAGGGTAAGGGCCAGTTTAGGGTTTGGGTTTTAGGGTTTGGGGTTCAGGGTTTACGGTTCACGGGTGTAGGGTAGGGGCCAGTCTTCTCGCTCCAAACATATCCAATAGGAGCTTTCACACATGCTGGCGTATGCAGCCATGAGTCCCCCACTATTCCGCATACTCAAACCATAAGGTTGTTGGGGGACCAGAGTGCGAGCGCGTGCTAATTGATTTAGAGTTTAGGTTCTATATTGATCCCGTAAACCCGAAACCCTCAACCCTAAACCTTTAACCGTACTACAACTGCTATCAGCAAAATCGTCGTGATAGCCGTCAGTCTCCCATC